TTCCCTTTTTTGATGCTTTAGGAATTACCTGAACAGAAAAAAGAGTGCATCATATGACACTAGAACTACATGGCTTTCTTAAGGTTTTTAAACGAACATTTCTCATCATTTTGCACAAGCAGTGCATCTCTATTTTATGCTTTCCCATTCAATGCACTTTGCATGTGAACCTTCTTATTCATAGTTCTCTTTAAAAAAGTCTCAAATATTTGACCCCTAGTAAATGAAACAACAAACAGCTCTTGCATGTAATGTCATTCTTACTCTAAGTTTGAATAATTATGAGATCTTTAACACTAAGAATGAATACTGTCCAGTGAGTTAGAGTAATAGTGAGTAGTATAGCCAGTGTTAAAAACTATATTCACAAAAATCTGCAGTCTCTCCCCACAATACTCTAAATATGATTTACCATCCCACAATACAAGTAACATGTACTTGTTAAAAAAAAAAAAAAAATCCTCCAAAAAGTACCAACCACAAAAAGGCATAGGTCTCCTGGAGAGCAGACCTCGGTTATACTGTTGGAGCACATGCATACACAGTTAAGTATGCAATTAAAGGTTCTGAAATGGCTTAAATTTCCTTTTAAGAAACATTTTACTTTTTTGTTACCTGGAAAATAATAAAAATTGAAACTGAAAAAAAAATCCCCTTACAGAAAATCAAATTATTTTTTCTCATAAAGGTAATATTATAGGAAAACCCAACCAAAGCCTCTATATTTTTAAGTCCCTGATTTAGTGAAAAGATACAGCCATTGTATTAACATTGAGAATAGGCTTAGGTACTTTGCTGCATAGGAATGGAAGTAAGCATATGTTTTAAATTAATCACATACATAAACGTTGTCTTGAACCAGAGCAAAGCAGCACTTGGCATTAGAGAAAGCAATTTTGTGCAACAAAAATTAAATGTAGTCTTTAAATTTTTATGGCTCTGATTGACCTTTTCTTTCATTATTATTTATAGCTTACATTATTCTTCATCGTCTAAAATTATCAGTTCTTATCAAGTTAATGGCAAAATGCTTGATGCCCTTGGAAATATCTTCTATTTCTTTTTAAACAACATTATTATTTTAATAATAGTTGAAAATATATTACGTTTCCTGAGTCATAGGTATCATAAATCAAACCCAGACCCCCATTTCTTTTCCCAAGCTACATGTAGAAATTTGTAATTCCACTCCCAGCCCTCCATATGTGTTTTTGCATAATTTTTACCCTAACCACTGAAAAGTGCCCATAAAATAAATTGCTAAGTTGAATTGCTGTGTTGGATAATCTTTGAGAAAACTGTCAGTTTTCTTCTGACATTTCTCAAGGGATTCCAATGTCACAAACAGCAAGGAGGGTTCGAATTATGGTATTAGCCTTCAAAGCTGATTATTAATGTGTAACGCTTATTTCATTTAAACTGGCATCCCGTGGAAGCTGACACATCTAACACCTGATGTTCAGTTACTTGCCCCAGTGATGGGAATAACTTACTGCAACCATGGAACATTTGGTATGCTGTCCTAAAAGGTGAAGGTGGAAAATCTCTCTTGGAGGAGTCGTTGCTTACATTTTCACTGTCTTTTCAGACAGTTACATGCATCTGCAAGCATTTATGGGATACACATCCTGCTTCATATCAAAACTCGTGAGATCCACTTATAAACTTTTCCAAGTTGTACTGAAATCCAAATTTTTGTCTACCTTCAGTGTTAATGTTAGATTATATATTTAAGCTACAATCCTTATTCAGAAATTCCAGCTGTTAAAATGTAGATAATGAAAGGATACTATGCATACTGCCTAACATTTTTATGCCATGGTCATATAGTTAGCTATTTTAAATGCATTCCTGTCATGAATGTTTAAAGAGATGGGTTTATCTTTACCATTGATTTCATTGATTTTCAGGGGAATTGTTAGCTACAATTAGGTACAACAACACAAAATCCCTCCACATCGTCTGGAAGACTCCCATACCGGCCAAGTATCCCTGGTCTGAGTGTCAGTGCCATTGTACCAGGGGAAGACCTGAGTATGAAATGTGGTTTCTGATGCCCTGGTGGGATCATTTCTTGTTCTACAGCACAAAAATTTCACTTTCTGTTCCTTATGTAGGATGAAATACAAGCCATACACTACAAACCATGAATATGTATGGAAAATACAACTTCAAGTATTCTTTTTAAAATAATTTTGTTTCCACACCTGATCACTTTACCTGTTTTTTTCTGTAATCAGTTTTAAATTTGTTACTTTTTCCTTCCATAGGCAAGTCCATTTTTATTTTACTGCCGGGAAAAGTGAACAGAAAGCATTAAGACTAGAAAAATGGATTAAATCTTAACTTTCAGTTTATCTCTCCATTTCATGCTACATCTTTCTCTTTAAAAAATGTGCGATTTTTTCTTTATTTCACTGATGCATTGATAAATAGTTTATGTGAGAACCCAGAAGAGAAACTTTTTAATGAGTAGCTTTATTTTTAATACCTGATTAGAGAATAAGTAACACCATTCAGATTGTTTTTAGAAATATTTCCTTTACATCATATTTTATGACAATGATGACTTCCTAGTCCTTTTGCGCAGTTTCACAAGGTTTTTCTTTCCCTTTTTTTTCTACTGTTGATCCAAAATGTTATGGTATTTAGTTTTGAAAAATACCTGGTGTGTGATGTTTGAAAAGTATGGAATGGGGCTAAGATTTACACACACAGAGAAATATTTCTTCATTGTTTGACATTTACCCAAGAGCAGAGGGGGAATAGTTACTACTGGTGTGCAACTGAAGCTGATAGAGCAGAAAATAATATTCCTGCACTACCTGTCTCTACCCAGCATGATTATTTTCTGCTGCATCAGCTTTAACATCAGGCTCTAACGTGCCAGGGTTAGGTTAACACAGGAGCTTCTGGAGAGGTAAGATTCTGAATGCCTTGTTACCTCATGGGTTTTAGGACAGTTACTTAAATTTTGTGTGGGTTTTGCTTGTTATTTTTATTTTGGAGTGGTTTTTTTCAGTTCAAGTAGACATGAAACAGATGTCTTATTTTTCCAGTACTGCATTGTGGGTTAAATCCTATTTTTATGGAAACTCTCTAACTAATGGGAATATTACTTTTTGATCAGAAGTTGCAGCAAAATGGCATGTATTATTTAGTTGGATGGGAATGGAAGACAGGTACATCAGCTTGGCTAATGTGGGGATTAAGGAGTGAATAATGCTTTGAAGGGCAAGAGCTTGTGACAAATTCAAGATTAACTGTTTTAAATGAAATGCATAGAGATATTCAATTATTCATCAATGAATAATTGAACTAACAGTTCTACAACTTTTCCACTTTGTCCATATCTTTTTTCTTTCTGTTCTTTTGAAACACTATTTTTTTTATTATTATTATCTTACCAGTTTTCCATCCCTTGCAATGGTCAGTATCTCTTCTGCTTTGCTCCTCGTCTTTTTATGTTTTTTTTCAGGAGAGCATAACTGTCATGAGTGGAGCTACCTGAAGAGAAAAGAATATTAGTTTTGCTTTGGGGGCAATTGCATTTGCTTGCGAAGAGAGAGATTTATAGGTTGTAGGGTGGGATGGGTGGACATAGGTGAATGATCTGAAGGACAGTGGGGAATATACCATTGCAGACAGCAGACACATCATCAGGTTTCTGCATCGCTCAAAAGCAAAACTTTCTAGGGACCTAGCTGCATATGCTACAACCCCTTAAAATTACATGAACTTAACCAACAGCACAAGAAAGCACCTGCTATAAAGAAGTAAGGACTAAAAGAACTGCATATTCTTAAATAAGGACTATCAGGACACTATTTTGTCCAGTCTAGATATATCAAGCTTTTTTCTGTGTGAATACTGAGCTATTCTAATAAATACCTGAAAATTCAGGTCTAATAAAACCTGATTTTTATGGTTAAAAATCCGCTTGGACCTCTTTGAGAATATTTGCTGTAAGAGAGAGAACCAGGCAGATCGTCCTCAAAATTCTGGGGTATTTGGGGTCCTGACACATGTAACTGTATGCCTCACAAAACATTTGCCTTAGTATGTTAGTAATGTGAACCTGTGATTAGTTTACTGAACAGGTAAGTTGCATTTATCCAATATGTTGATATAATCTGCATTTCAGTAGACTTGAATAAAACTATTACACAGAACTGGAACTGCTAGACTATTTAAATGTCTACTAGTCACACACTCGATGGCTGGATGGCATATTTTTTATCAAGCTTTCATAGCTTTCTCTCATTTTGCCCTTTTATTCTCCCCCACCCCCATGTTTTGTTGTATGCTTTTTTGTTAATATATAACTTTAAAAAGTACTATGCTCTCACTTGATATTTTAACCAGACATTAATGGGCTTTTTTGAGAAAGTTGGAACAAATGTAGCATTGCAAATGAAAATTTAAATTGTAAATTCTTCCTCAGCCTTTAAAGCCTTACACAGACAAATTAAACTAAGTTGTCAATATTCTTTTTATACTGATATTCTGTTAAATGCACTGCAGAAATCGCATCTGCTCTGAAAACCATAATTGGGGATTCATTCCTGAACATACTTTTATGAAGAAGAGATATAAACATCTCAAAGCTACCAAGAGGAGATAACACAGCATGATATATTTAAGAACTACTGGAAAAAAATGTTTAAAGAGGGAAAATACATTCCATAGCTAGATATCTATTTAATGTTTAGACAATTTGGAAAAAGATAGAGGAATCTTCACTCCCTACTCCCACAGAAATGAAACAAGTGCAATTTTAGTGCATATTTTACTGATTCTTTTTGGGCAGTGCACACACAAAGATGATTTGTAGAAACCCAGAGAATTTTTACTAGTACATCAGTGAGCAACCGTAATTGTGTTTTTTCCCTAATGAAGTCAATCCATTTCAAAGGTGTAACAAAGTTAAAGCTCATCTCTAAGGTCTCTTTTCTTTGCTGTAGGGTTTATGCTGTTTTCTGTGATTTTTTTTTTTAAAGGATCATCTGTTTCAACTGGAATCACACAAATTTGAGAGAGGACGAGGCAGGTGCCCTTTTGACCCCAGTTCTTCCTTCACCTCCATCTTAATTGGTAATGATCTGTATGTCACAAGCTTCATGGTCCTGTCAATCTGTCATCCTGAGTCTCTTTCTTCAGCACACCGAAGTGTTGTCAGTCTTCCACTACAACCTTCCACATGTCAGACTTAATCCTCGTGGTGCTGCCCACATTAATATGACATCCCAGGCAGCATTAACTCCACCAAGGGTGTCTCACTGAAGTGAGCAGATGTTATATGACATGTGCCATCCTGAAGAGGTAAATGATTGTTGTGTAATTTTGCAAACAATTATTTCCTGCTTTCCTTCAGAGCAAAGCAATATGTCTAGCTTAGACTTTTACACCACTGAGACAAATACATAAAATTTACTATTTTTCATCTAGTGAGATAGAGTAATCTGAGTAACAAGTATCTTGTAAAAATCTGAATTCAACTGTTTCTATATCAAGCATTTAATGTTTATATAACTTACAGCTTTTGAGATCAAAATAGATTTTTTTCAATGCTGCCTTCTAACAAAACTATCCAAAACTGGTGATTCTGTGCTAGGAGAGTTGATCTTATACTCAACAGTTATAAAAATAGAATTCATTCTAAGTTCTGCAGTGCCAGAAAGCTGTGCTGAGATAGTGCTCTTCTGTGCCTTGATGGTAAGTATATCACGGCAGGGCTGGGACCTTCAAAGTTGTAGTATAGCAAACCATATGTTTTTTCCTCTATAATGTTTTCCTGAAAGCATTTTGTGAGATCAAGCAAACACAGTGTTGGCAATATTATAGTACATTGACTAGAAATAGACTGGAACAGCAGGTAAAGGGTGAAAGCTAGATGCACTTAGGGAGTAACACAGTGATTTCTGGGTTTAGAAAATATAAATAAGATGAAAACTGAGCATTCAAAAAGAATAGTCATTAAAAGAAAAAGCTAGAAAAAAGATGCTAAAGATCAAATAAATTTTCAACTTTTCAGGAATAAAATATTTAGAGGATTTTAGGGCCCATTGATATTTACATTTGACTTCATATCTTGAAATCAGACATCTAAAGTCTCTGATTATTAACTACAATGATATAGCTCACCCATGGTATTTGTCATGAGTGACAGATGTATTTTTACATGCTAGGTTTATTTGTTCCTTTACATTAACAAATTACTTACAAGAAGAATCTTCACCAGTAATGCCAAATCTTCCAAACTGCAGTAATTCATCAAAACATTATTCATTCCCATTTAAAAAAAAAAAAAAAATTACAGCTCAAATTCTTAAGAGTTAGTGGGTGAAGAAGTCATGAAAGAATCAGAAAAAGCTGTATTTTAACTGACCTTCCAAAATCCATGAAGCACAGATTGTTACGCTTTTCTTCCACCCTTATTTCTAAATTGTTTCTACAGTTTTTAACAGATTCCAGTCTTAGCTCAGCCTGGGAAAAAAGACTCATCCCATGGAATTTGCTGTAGGCCTGAAACCTAATGGTCTAATCTTGAAGTCCTTCTCAACCTTTCCTCAGACAGACCTAAGTAAATAAATTAACCTGATCATGTTCCTACTGTGAGATCAATGTGAATTTTATTTGCTTAAATGGAAGCCAGATTGTCCCACTGAGCACTACAAGAGTAGTGGTTAGTCCTTGTGTTTCTAGCCTATTCATTAGTTTGCCTGGATTATAGGAGGTCCTATGGATCCTCAGTTTTATCTGAAAGAGAAATCCATTAAATAAGCCCTTCCCTGACAAATGTTGATCAGAGTCTTGGACATCCACTGACAAAGACTTATAAAATCGATCTCACAAAGCTAACAATTCTGTAATGTGGCAAGATTAAGGGGACAAAATAATACATTTTTATCATATCACTGATAAAACACCAAAAAACAGACCAAATTTTACCCTTTCATCAAAACTAATATGACCTGAGAAAGGTATTTAAAGGCTGTTTTTCTAGGCCTCCATTGGGAATTCTATAACTTCAAGTGATCATAGAATGATATTTTAAAAGCATAACAAAATTCTTCAGAGAGTTTATTATTTTATTTACAGTTTTATACTTTTTATACTATTGGTATTAAACACTACCAACACTTAGGAAAAATATCGTAAAGAAGTTTGTATTTCCATGTATTCTATGATATTCTACTAACACCTACTAACCAGAGACACACAGCATACAGAATAAACAGAATTAATGCTTCTCCTTAGGCTTCAGAATTATATCCTTTATTTCTGTAGGTATTCATTTGAAAAGGGTGGAAGACATAGATGCAAACATGCTGAATATTAAAGAATCTTTTAATTAACATTTAAAAATGAGACTGAGACCTCTAATGCCAAGTGCACTCTGAAGGAAGGGATGCTTCTTCATTCATCTGAGCCCTGATTCCAGCTCATGGTGGCCATGACCCCATGAGAGGAAATGACAACTACACCACGCACCCTCCAGGACTGGTCTTCCAGTCTTTCCTCCAATGCTTGGAGGTTTCCTTCTTCTTCATGCACTCCAGTTTTCTTAGAAAGTGAAATCCACTCCTGGTATGGAGCCAGCGTGCCCTTGGAGGCTGCACCCCAGGGTTGCCTCTATTCCCCCACATAGGTTCAGCCAATGTGCACGTCCTTGAAAAGGTTTTATGCAAACCTGTTAGCAAAGGGTTTCACACCCCAGCATCCTCTTCTTCCTAACTAAACAATTCAAAACTTGCTTCCACCTCTCAACTCACATTAACACAGCAGCCTACACCAGTGTGGCTATTGACTAACAGTGAAGATTAGACTAACAAGGAGACTTTACATAGCTCTGATAAAAGTTTATAAGCTCTTAAAATCTTGATCTTGAAAGATCATTTGCATCATCACTAATTAGAACCAGATTTTGCTTGATTAATGGAGGAAGAAAGAGAATCTCTTGTTCTGTATCTCTTCATGTATTTCAACACATCAGTTAAAATACCCACTTCAAGAAAACAATAGTTCGTGACTTGGCTTTAAAACTAAATATCCATGCTGTCGTAAGTTTTATTACAGGTTATATGACCCAGTGGTAAAGTAGCTTGTGATTAATTCCTTAGTTTATGAACAATTAACTTTTAGCAATTTATTGTCAGCATCAGGAAACAGAATAGATGCTGGATGGCAGACAGGCTGAATAAAATGTATATCTTTAGATAAACAGCATATAAAACTTTTGGACTTCTATTTCTAGTGAACTCTCCCATCTGCTTTCAATAGCCAAAACTATTTTTGATATCAGATCATGCACACTGATTAACTTAGACCACACTAGCTCTTGAAAGCTGAGAAATTAGTTTATGTCTATGTTTTGTTACCTACAATATATCACAAGCAAGTGGTGAAAAACCTAAACTACATTGGAATATGTTTTTCTACCCAGGGAATCCATTCCATTTTCTGTTTTTACAGTTTTAAAACAGTTCCATGTATTTGTGTCTTTTCTTTTACTCTAGAGAATGAACTAAAATAAAGACATTTTCTCTCAAAGAAGAATACACAATACTTGAGTGACAGACAGAAAATACAAACATACAGAGGAAGTTTACCAGCTAAGCAAAAGCCAATTTCTTTAAAATTTGGTTTTTTCCTACTGTGAAAAATATCACTTGCTAAAAATGTGAATTGGTTTTCTGATTTTAGCTGTCATTTGAGTAATAACTGGCTGACAGTCAAAGAAATGCATCAATGGTTCTGCTTGTGCTCCACTCATTACATTCTACTCTTCTATCCATAACAGAACTTGTCCACTTTGTAGAAAGTGATATGGGGATTTTTACACAAAAAGGACTACTGATGAACAATAGCTTATGTTTGTGTTACCTTCCAATTTGAAGCAGGTACACAAAACATGCCAATAACAAAAAGGAAAACCACTTCCAAGGTGGAAGCTGCCTACTTATAGAAATCCCTTGTAAATATTAAGTTTTAAAATTAAATCACATGCTTCAATCTGATTTACTTTAAGGGTTGTCATCTAGGAATTCTTGGGTTTAGAATAAAAAGTTTGTATTTGGTTTTGTTAATATTTTGCTCTGAGAAAAGGGCAAAAAATAAAGGTAGCTTTTAAGTGGTTCCAATTGAACTTTGAGGTATTTATTTGCTTGAAAAGAATGCTAGATAAAAAGTATGCATGTATGACTTGAGCTAAAACTCTTTTTTGAGGTCCATGGGATTTTTGTTTGGTTGTTTTTTTTAAATAAGGAAAGAAGAAAGTTTCCATTCTTGTTTTAGCAGGATTAACTAGGCCGTGTGTCATGGTTTAGCCCCAGCCAGCAACTAAGCACCACGCAGCCGCTCGCTCACTCCCCCTACCCCGATGGGATGGGGGAGAGGGTCGGAGGAGTAAGAGTGAGAAAAACTCCTGGGTTGATTTAAGAACAGTTTAATAACTGAAAAAAGAAAAATAGTAATGATAATAATAACAATATAATAATTACAGTAATAATAATATACAAAGCAAGTGATGCACAATGCAATTGCTCACCACCTGCCGACCGATGCCCAGCCAGTTCCCGAGCAGCGATCACTGCCCCCAAGCGAACCCCCCCCCAGTTTCTATACTGAGCACGACGTCATATGGTATGGAATAGCCCTTTGGCCAGTTTGGGTCAACTGTCCTGGCTACGCTCCCTCCCAGTTTTTTGTGCACCTGGCAGAGCATGGGAAACTGAAAAGTCCTTGACTAGCATAAGCAATACTTAGCAACAACTAAAACATCAGTGTGTTATCAACATTCTTCTCTACTAAATCCAAAACACAGCACTATGCCAGCTACTAGGAAGAAAATTAACTCTATCGCAGCTGAAACCAGGACACTGTGTTAAAACTTAAATTTTATCAAGTAATTTGTCAAATACATGTGAAGCTGAGATTAAACTGGAAGAGGGGAGGAGTTGTGAAGATCTGTGAAATTGCTCAGTTGATCTTCACTGGAAGATGCTGGTTTATTGGTGTAATGTGCAGCAGTATAAAACCCTGCAACCAAGACAGAAGTGAGTTGTTATGTTGATATGTAATAGTAGCTTTTGAATGGAGAAGAAAAGAGTAGAAATCTTCCCAGGATTTTTCAAACCTGAACCTCAGGTTGTGTCTAAATCTAGAATTAGTCAGCACCTGTAAAAACCTAGCAGTGTTCAAAATTTATAACAAGGATTTAAAGGAGGTACAAAAGACTACTGAAGAGGAAAAGAGAATATCCTCTTAATGTCAACAGTGCAAAAGATCTCAGAATTATGGTGAATATTCTTGTGCTGAGGTCTTTGCCAGTCACACTCATCAGTCTCATTGCTTTCCTCACCACAGGCGAGGTGACCTGACTGCTCACATTTGCTACTTGTCTTATGTTTAGTTTAGTAACACTTCAAGGTAAAAACCAGATTTAATTTCTGTATCTGGGCAATACCTTTCATGGGAGAATATCTATCCAAGACTGGAACTTCCATTTTCTTCCCCCAGGATCTCACGGATAAAATCAGTGATAACTTCCTTGGTACATGGTAGAATGCCGTACCATCAGGTTAGTTACATATGCTAACATTTTATACCTATGTCAAAGAGAAGGAATAGGCTTCATATCCAAACTTCTGAGCATCTGGACTTATAAATGTCAATCCTGATCACTAGCAATACACAACAAATCATTTACCCTGCGCTGATGCATTTTCCAAGATTCTCTACGGTGTTGAAAGGACAAAAGCATCATGTTTTGTATTACACATCTCCATAATTAAAAAAAAAAAAAACAACCCAACACTAAAAAAACAAACCATCCATTCTGAGATATTTTCCAATGGAAATCTTAAAGGGGGATTTATGACTAATGTAACTCATTAATTAGGGTTGTGAAGCTTGTTTGGAACGTTATTCAGACACCGGCAAATTCTGTTGTTTAAGCAGCTCTGTGTTGTATAAAAAATAAAACTCTCTATTAGTTTTGGGCAACATTAACTTCTACTGATGTTATAATTTATACTTACTTTTAATTTTTCTTGCCAATATTTTGCACTAGATTATGACCATGTATTTTACAAGGCAATATCTATTCTCTATATGGTGAAAACCAAGGCGAAATTATGCTCAGCTCCAAATTAGCAGAGGTTTCTGAACCCACCCCAGGTGCCAAACTATAAACTTTTCAGAACCATTATTCAGACTTACAGTACCATTCAATTAATATGTATCTCTTAAGAGAAGCAAAATTCACACTTTGAGGGAGACCAACAAGCAAAATTCTTGCTTTTGCTATTATCCTTTATAAATGCCATATAAATTTTATTTGAATGGATCAGTCATGCTTATTTTGATTAGGAGGTAGGAAGCCATGCCACTGAAACCTCCACTCAGATTAGCCATGAATTGGAAATAATTTATTTCCCTCTTCTTGTGCATTTCCTGCTGCACTATTTTCTAGCATAAGGTTGCCACCTAGTGACAATAACTGCCTGCTTTTTAAATTGGGACGAAGAAATTTCTAATCTAAGTCCACAAGGATATGAAGTATATTATTCTTAATGCTTGGTCAGTTAAAGGGAATTCTGCCCATGCATAACTAAAAGGTAGAATTATTGCTGGTATTTTGCAAAGTAAAATATATCCAATATCACAGTTTTAGATGGGTCAGGTAGAGTTAGGCTGGATTTTCGTACATATGTGTGATTCAGTTGTACCCAACTACATATAGATTGTGAAAACTTACTGGGAATCAGCATGTTATTTCTAATATTTTCCTATGTTTGCATAATTTATGAATGCCACCTAAGCCCTTTGAAAATGAGACCCAATTTCTGCTCCCATAAATTTTTCAGGAAATAGTCATCACCATTTGTGCAGCATGGATGAGATCTCAGATTCTGTCCATACTCTGGTGAATATTTTAAGATATGAAAACAAGTTATTGCTAGACCAGAGGAAAATAGGCTCTTTTTCTCTGTCCACTGAACACCTAAGCTCCCCCAGCCAGCAAGTTACATCTAAGCTGTAGTTAGACTGGAAAACTCCCTCAGCCTAATAAAACAAGTTCTTGTTTATAGAAATCACTTCTAAGGTAGCAGGTACTGCTTCTTATCTCTCCAGCTGGGGAGATAACTGCATCCAGCCCACCATTGTTTTCGGCATGTGCTTCTTCAATTAATCTTTTATTCAGCCATGTTTTGCACAGAGCCAAATCTGATAACTATGCTCAGGAAACACCTCCCTGTTTGAGGTCTGATCTGTGGATTTAAGCATGGTTTAGCCTTGAGCTGTATCCATGCAGTGTTGCCCAAATCAGTGGTTTGGTGTAGCTATCACTATTCTTTTCCTTAGCACTGCATCCTCTGAAACCTGGTGCTGCATTTTCATCCCATTTTCTGGCACCTGTTATTTCTGGCTCCCCCTAAACCCAACACATCTCTTCCAGTTCTGGGGCTGAGCAATTCATTGCTTCTCATTAGCAAGACCAGGGCATGTCTGGAAGAGCTCAGAAGCAAACCACTGGTGAGAGTCTGTGCACTGGTGAAAATTTAGGTGCTGACAAAGGGTTGGTGTCTCTAGGACCAGGCACTAACTGAATGACAGTGAGATCTTTGAACTTAGATGTCTGATGTGGCAGATGTTATTGTGGCAGGTGTAGTTAGATGTTAATTTAATGCCTTCATGTTTTGTGTGTGAATCTATCCCAAAATCATAAAGTCAGTTTTGAAAATGAGGCCAAGCCCATGAATGAAATTTAAAATTCTTGTCCTCATGCTGTTCCAGCTGTAAAGGTTGCAGTGCTGATAAGAACAATGCCCATATGCTCTTTAGACTATATGTAACTCACTGACTCACCTTCATACCTGAATTTGAGCAAATATTAATGAGCCATGTTTATAATGAAGTTCCTATCATATGCAATGAAATTAATAAATAGAGCATTACTAATTTGTTTTGTTTTGGTTTTTTAATCTATGGTCTGCAGGTGGTGAACTTTTTACTGGTCTCTACAGTGACTACTGGGGAAGAGATGCTGCTCTATTTCGCACCATGAATCGCATGGCCCATCTCCGAACCGAACCTGATAGTGAACGCCTGTTGAAAGGTATGGGAAGAAGGAGAAGGAAGAACTTGGAACCAGAGGAGTTTTGGATGACTAGAGAATTTCTGTTTAACCAGAAATTAAAATTATATTGTTCATGAATAGGTATATCCATTTAGAGATGAATTTGTTTAAACTATCTTTTTTTCCAGGAAATTTTTCATTAACCTCCTGCCAGGGTGAACATACTGAAATCTTTACTTTGACTACATATTGAATGTAACAAGTGGAACTTTTAAGTCCTTCATTTTTCACTTTTAAAATTGCTTTTAACTTATATTCTATACCATGTCATGATATGCCAGCTATGATTAAAATAATATTTTAAAATTCTCTAATTAATTAATGGGACCTTCTAATTAGAACACCGTACTCTTTTTTCTAGATTAGAGCATTTTGTCTTTATGTTGCAATAAAACGACTCAATCTTTGCCAAGTCATGTAGTAAGGAGATGTCATGCAATAATGCAAAATAATAAACATACAATGATCATACAGTTAAACGAAATAAAAAGTTAAAGCAGATAAACTTAAACAAGAAAATTAAAATATTCCACAAGAAAAATATTGAGAAAAATCACGTGCTGGGAAATTTAGAAATTGTTTCATACTCTTCAATGTGAAATGTAACTGAATTTCAAAGTGTTGAAATTTCTGTGAAATGGAGAGTCAGAATCTTGATTTCTTTTGCTCCAAAAGTATTGCAATATTTCATCATAACAGTGATATAATTACTGCTAATGTTTGTCAAGGAGAGTCAATAATTGGCTTTTATGGTGATTCATATGGTGAGCATCATCTTTTCAGTGAAACGACATAGAAGTTTTTTTCTCTCAAATTTCAAGGTAGTTTTCTCCCAAATCAGAATAGAGAAAATAGTTCTGCTGCATACTTCTTCCTACATTAATCTGACCTCAAACTTGAATTAAATTCATTTTTTTTAAAAACTACATTTAGAACATGCTTAGATATGCTTTAAGTCCAATGCTTAGAGCTTTGCTGAACTGAGTGTTTAGACTGGCTATATATGGGTAACAACAATCAGGTGGATGTTCACAATATGCAAGTGAAGTTTCTCTTCTCTCTAGAAGATTTCATTATTTTAATACAGAAGTCTCTAAATTATGGCCTCAAACTTTGCTTTTTGTTTTGTCTGTACTTGAAATTTAAATTTGCAGAAGGGGAATATTTTTATACGCATATTAAAAACACTTCAGAAAATTAGCAAATGCTTTATCAATGTCTTAAAATGCAATGACTGTTTTCATAGGGAACAGGAATTTAGAAAATATTTACATTACCCACTGCTTCTTAAGAAATCATACTAATTATATGAATGACGTTCTCATTTAAAGAACTTGTAAAAACTTTGCTACAATTCAGTGAGGTGAAATCATTCACAGCTTTGCTTGATGTGGGGGTTAAAAGGTATATAGTCATGGACTGAAGTCTGAACTTAGGTTTCAACTTCACAGCAAAATATCAAACCAGGAAAAATTGAGAAGGTTTTTATTTCATGACAAAGATACACAATGTATCTTCTATCTATGAAGATGTTCATATAACATCTATTAGCTGAATTACCAGAGCTTTTTGTTTATCTAACAGTCTGTTTGTCCGAAGCTGACATTCCTGCAACTGGTTTGTATGGGATCAGAGAATCTTATGTGAATATTAGTGCCAGGTTTTAGCCTAATCCAAATTAAAATATATAAACCCCAGAAATGGGACTGGAAAAAGGTCTTTTTCTTGCACACATAAAAAGGAATATTGATTTGTGAATTTGAGCTATAAAAATAATTTTACATTAATGTATTCCACATGTTCTATAGATACCCACCCACAAAAATTATTTCTATCACCCTATTCCCCTTAGGTAGTGCTCTGACTGACAATCCCCTGATTCTTTAATTTTTTTTTTTTTTCTCTGCTACCAGCTGATTTTAAGGATTGAAGAAATAAGAGAATGTTTTAATAAACTTGAATTTAGTTCATTTTTGTTTTTTTTTAAAGAACCAAAATTCGTTGGCTCTTACATGATTCCCGACAATGAAGACCATGATGATAACAAAGTATATTTCTTCTTTACTGAAAAAGCATTAGAGGCCGAGACAAATACTCATGCCATATATACCAGATTGGGACGCGTATGTGCGGTAAGATCCTTTTCTGATTCCTCAGCTAAATGAAAAAAAGCATGCTTCTTTCTTTGGTCTTTCTGCCCCAGGCAAATATGGCATCTGTTAATGTATGTAAGAGTAAGTTATAAGTCTGAATGAAAACCCTACATCTAAACAGCCTCAAGCATTAGAAAATTCAAAAGCTATCTGAAATCTGGGCTTGAAGCCGAATTTTGCCGAGAGAGGAGGGTAAAGTTCAGAAATCCTATTATTCATCTCCGTCTCTCTTTGTGCTGATATGTAGTAACAGTAATAGCAGTTGTCCACAGGACTCTTTTACTATCCATATTCCCAGTTCAGATCGAGTCTCCAGCGCTGTCAGTATTGGCTGCAAGACCAGTGTCTCTTGCAGCTCTGATAGCTGACATACAATGAAAGCATCCTGCTGACAGGACCAGCCCAGATACCAGTCCTCTCTGACGTTCCCTCTCGCCTTCTTATTCTGTCAGCAAGAAGGAGACTTAACTCTCCTGCATTTGTGGGGGACGGATGGCTATCCTATCAGACAGCTGGGTTTTGTAGCCAGATGGACAGGACAAGAGGCCATTGCCATGGATTGAAACACATGAAATTCTATCTGAACATGAGAAGACTTTTTTTTTACTGCCAGGGTCATTGAACACTGACACAGGTTGCCCAGAGTCTCCATCCTTGAAGACATTCAAAACCCAACTGGGCACGGGTCTGAGCAATTTGCTGAGCAACTTGCTTAAAGCAACTTACTTTGAGCAAGGCAGTTGGCCTAGACGATCTCCAGAGGTCCCTGCTAAATTCAATTATTCTGTGATTCTGTAAATTTTGAAAACCTCTTCCTGATGCATGAACGATAGGAGAGGTGCAATGTCAACCATCTATGGAGTGTTTTATAACTGTTTTCATTTCATCTATCATTCTTCTTCTCAACAACTAAGGAAAACTGTGCAGATAGGAAACTAGAACAAAGGATTGAATTGCCCAGGAAATTATTATTGCAGCCAGGCATAAGGTTTACCAGAAGGAGCAGAAAAGTCATGAGGAGAGAGCTTGCTTCCCTCCACTGCCCTGCGTGACTGTCGTGGTTTAGCCCCAGCCAGCAACTAAGCACCACGCAGCCGCTCGCTCACTCCCCCTACCCCGATGGGATGGGGGAGAGAATTGGAGGAGTAAGAGTGAGAAACACTCCTGGGCTGAGATAAGAACAGTTTAATAATTGAAATAAAGTAAAATAGTAATGCTAATAGTAACAGTATAATAATAATAATAATAATAATGATACACGAAGCAAGTGATGCACAATGCAATTGCTCACCACCCGCCGACCGATACCCAGACAGTTCCCGAGCAGCGATCGCGCTCCCCAGCCAACCCCCCCCAGTTTCTATACTGAGCATGACGCCATATGGTATGGAATAGCCCTTTGGCCAGTTTGGATCAACTATTCTGGCTGTGCCCCCTCCCAGTTTCTTGTGCGCCTGGCAGAGCATGGGAAGCTGAAAAAGTCCTTGACTAGCATAAGCAGTACTCAGCAACAACTAAAAACATCAGCATGTTATCAACATTCTTCTCCTACTAAATCCAAAACACAGCACTATGCCTGCTGCTAGGAAGAAAATTAACTCTATCCCAGCCGAAACCAGGACAGTGACTATCCATTTCCCGCTCAGGCTGCTTTCCTGGTGTGTTGATCTTATCTCTTTTTGGCTCCCTGGCCCCACATGCAGGAAAGAGACCTCAGGGAGTCACTGGAGAGGAGAACTGTTAACATGTGATCTCCCAGATTAAGCTGCCTGTAACTGGTCCTCTCTGAACAATTGATGAAGTTTGGGTGTATTCCTTTTCTATTAATTGAACTATGGTAAGGCTGATGAGAGGAGCTCTCCCATTCCCATTGGGACTACATCTGCTTGATTAAAGGAAGGAATGAGAAGTTTATTTCTTAGCATCTGATTTTGTTTCTGAAAAAAATTGCATTCTTCCCTCCTAACTGTAGGGCATACATTCCAAAAAGTACTGGGCAAAAAGCAAGATACAAGTTAAAAATCTTCTGTCACCTCAATGTATAGTATACGTCACATATGGTCACCAGCATCCTATCTATTAAAATTTCTTCAGGAGTATTCACGTATAACTTAAAATGTCTGAAGTATCCAAAATACCAAATTGCAGACTAAGACATCAATGTTCACAAAGCCAGTTCACTTTCTGAATTCAAGCCTGCATCAAGATCTGAAGTAGAATTCTTTGGCCTATGTTCTGGTAGATGTCTGAATAGATTATTTTAATAGTTCCCTTTAGTCTGAAATATACACCTAAATGTCTTATCTCTAGCCATGGTTTAAACCAAAATCCCACATTTCTCTTCCACTCGTCCAAAACTCCAAACACTTTATCACCTGGACATAAAATTCACATCCGTATGCCATAATTAAAATCTGATTTAATGAATAAAAAAAAATAGCTAGCTGGTGATTCGAGCTGGCTTTTTTTTCCAGCTTTTATGTTTTCATCTGAGCTGTAATAGGTTTTGCAACACAGATGTACCTATTCCTTATATTTCTACTTTTCTGAGGAAAACACATCTCTGTTGTTGTAAGATCTCAGTGTAAAGCTGGGGAAATCAATTAACTTCAGTAGTTTAGAATGAAGTTGTGAGAGGAGTTTTGCAAGCCTAATACAGAGCCTTCAACAGTCAGTTACACAGTCTACCTGAACATAAGGTCATAGCTTGGAGGATGCTACCCAAAGGTTACAGAACTTCATTACTAAATAGTACTAAATGCCCCCTTTCTTGACAGTCTGACAGTCTCAATAGTAAGAAAAAGGTGAGACAGTCA